ACGAGGAAATTTTGGAGTGGGTGGCAGTGGTACGGAGAGTTTACAGTGCTATTCTGGTATTTGTTTGCCTGCATCATCAGATAAGAACTCAAACAACTACTGCTCCAATGATAGTCGACTACCAGGAAAAGTTGGCCAGGGTGGGAGATGTACCGATAGTTATCAGTGCTATTCTGCTATTTGTTTGTCTTCATCACACGATGTGAACTCAAACAAGTACTGCTCCACTGATGGTCCTCAACCAGGAAAAGTTCGCCAGCGTAGTAGGTGTACGGCCAGTGATCAGTGCTATTCTGGTGTTTGTTTGCCTTTAAGATCAGATGAGAACTCAAACAAATATTGCTCCGATGATAGTCCTCAACCAGGAAAAGTTGGCGACGGTGGCAGGTGTACCGAGAGTTTCCAGTGCTATTCTGGAATTTGTTTGCCTTCATCACTAGATGTGAACTCGAACAAGTATTGTACGAATGACAGTCGGCGAGGAGGAAAAGTTTTCCAGGGTGGCAGGTGTACCGAGAGTTATCAGTGCTATTCTGGTATTTGTTTGCCTTCATCAGCAGATAAGGAGTCAGAGAACTACTGCTCCAATGATAGTCCACAACCAGGAAAAGTTGGCCAGGGCGGCAGGTGTACCGAGAGTTTTCAGTGCTATTCTGGTGGTTGTTTCTTTTCATCAGGTTACAAGTACTGCTCCAATGATAGTCCACAACCAGGAAAAGTTGGCCAGGGCGGCAGGTGTTCCGAGAGTTTCCAGTGCTATTCTGGTATTTGTTTGCCTTTAGTAGTAAAGGTTTATGTGTGTGATTTGACTGAGCCTTATGCTCCCTGCGAGGTTGTCGAAGATAGGTCAACGAATTACTGCTCCAATGATAGTCCTCAACCAGGAAAAGTTGGTCACGGTGGGAGGTGTACCGAGAGTTTCCAGTGCTATTCTGGTATTTGTTTGCCTGCATCATCAGATAAGGAGTCAGACAACTACTGCTCCAATAATAGTCCACAACCAGGAAAAGTTGGTCAGGGTGGCAGGTGTACCGAGAGTTTCCAGTGCTATTCTGGTATTTGTTTGCCTGCATCATCAGATAAGAACTCAAACAACTACTGCTCCAATGATAGTCCACTACCAGGAAAAGTTGGCCAGGGTGGCAGATGTACCGATAGTTATCAGTGCTATTCTGGTATTTGTTTGCCTTCATCATCAGATAAGAACTCAAACTACTACTGCTCCAATGACGGTCCGCAACCAGGAAAAGTTCGCCAGCGTAGCAGGTGTACGGCCAGTGATCAGTGCTATTCTGGTGTTTGTTTGCCTTTAAGATCAGATGAGAACTCAAACAAATATTGCTCGGATGATGGTCCACTGCCAGGAAAAGTTGGCGACGGTGGCAGGTGTACCGAGAGTGATCAGTGCTATTCTGGAATTTGTTTGCCTTCATCACTAGATGAGAACTCAAACAAGTACTGCACGAATGACAGTCGTCTAGGAGGAAAAGTTTTCCAGGCTGGCAGGTGTACCGAGAGTTATCAGTGCTATTCTGGTATTTGTTTGCCTTCATCATTAGCGAAGAACTCAGACAACTACTGCTCCAATGATAGCCCGCAACCAGGAAAAGTTGGCCAGGGTGGCAGGTGTAGCGAGAGTTTCCAGTGCTATTCTGGTATTTGTTTGCCTTTATCATCAGATAAAAACTCAAATAACTACTGCTCCAGTGATAGTCCACAACCGGGAAAAGTTGGCCAGGGTGGCAGGTGTACTGAGAGTTATCAGTGCTATTCTGGTATTTGTTTGCCTTCATCATTAGATAAAAACTCAAACAACTACTGCTCCAATGATAGTCCACAACCAGGAAAAGTTGGTCAGGGTGGCAAGTGTACTGCCAGTGATCAGTGCTATTCTGGTAGTTGTTTGGCTGGCTATTGTAATTAGACTCTGATACACAACTGTATGTTCAACAGTAATAGAACTGAAAATGTTATATTATTCATGAGCTTTTTTACGTTATTATTGTTATTGTGTTATTTATTCATCAGTGAATTGGCTTCTTGTCAACATTCATGGAAAAAGATCCTTTTTACCAGTAAAAGGTTTTCTTGATTTTTCGGACTGCGATGCACTGTTCCTATCTAATTTCTAACTGTTAATATTTTTTACTGATACAGGTGATACATGATGAATGTACACGCATAAACACAAATATTAGTGAGGCGAACTTTAATTCATACTCGACGCGTCATTCTCATTGTTTCTTTCTGCTACTGCGCGTAGTACTACGTAACACCTTCCGCATTTTCTTTAGTCGTTTTGGCTGATGTTGTGCTAATATAATAACTGCTGCCCTATAGGGAACTCTTGCCACTTTTTTCACAGTTACTTTCCGATAGCCTAAAATGATTGGATGTTTTCGGTATCAAAAGGTCCGACTATTAAAGCAGCATCAAACGTTATCCTATACCTGATCACTAACTGACACTCGATGATGAAGAGATGTTGAGGCACTCATCGACTCACTTTGCTCGTCTCTGTGCCAGTCGCAGCACGTCGAGATAGTGCGTCGGAGCGGGTTCTGCTGTATTTCTTCGTATGTGCTCGTCTTCTCCATACACTCACATGATTTCGTTTGGTGCGCTGCGGATGTGTCGAGATGGATAACTTTTGTTTTGTCAGTTTTTCTAACTACTACTGTGTTTTTGCGGCACGGGACATCGGGAGTGCGGACTTCTTCATTGAATTGATTTTTTTTCTTCATAAATGTACTTCTTAATTTATGATGCAGTATGAGATGTGGGGGAATCATCGTTACGGCTTTTCTCCTAGAAAACATTGCCTTTTTGTCATTCTTTGTTTACCGTCACTTTCCATCTTTTCGAATATTTCTTTTAATGGTTCGTGTTTTTTCTCATTATTTTAGAAAAGAGAGCACGCTGCTAAGACTGTTAGCACACAAAATCGGCAGAAGGTGGTCGAAGCTATGTGGAGGACCATCCTGGCTGCCACTGGTGTATATATAAAATGCGAACCAATCGACCTTGTTGTCAGGCTGAGAGTGTGTATTTTTTAGAAGAAAGACCGGTGTTTTCGTTTCTAGATATTCCGCTAGTGACGGTGCGAGAAGGTATAGCTTGTGAAAACAGCGGCTAAAGTATAAAACTATTGTTTTTTTATTATTGTGCATTCATACCCTAGGTGCATTCATACCATAGTTTCATAGTACTTGCTTCGTTTCTTTTTACACTACTTGAGCAAACAAACATAAAAATATGCACAAAACCAAACTGTTTTGATTTCGTATTAGAGGACTACATTATGTACTAAAGCAAATTCAACTCGATCGCCAACTACCACCAAGAAATGTTATTTCAAAGAATACACTTTCAATCTTTTAGACTTTTATTCTTTTCCTTTCTTTTCCTTTTCTTGTCTTTTCATTTTCCTGGTTGAGGACTATCATTGGAGCAGTAGTTGTTTGAGTTCTTATCTGATGATGAAGGCAAACAAATACCAGAATAGCACTGATAACTATCGGAACACCTGCCACCCTGGCCAACTTTTCCCGGTTGAGGACTATCGTTGGAGCAGTAGTTGTTTGAGTTGTTATCTGGCAAACAAACCCCAGCATAGCACTCATTCGGATGATACGTGTTCGACGTACACGCATAAACACAAATATTAGTGAGGCGATGTTTAATTCATACTCGACGTGCTGCGACTGTTTTAATACATTTGATACGGCTTTAATAGTCGTAACTTTTGATACCGAAAACATCTAATGATTTTAGGCTATCGGTAAGTAACTGTGACAAAAGTGGCAAGAGTTCCCTGTAGGGCACCCAGAGATGTCAAAATATCACTACGTAGTGTATTCTCAAAAAGACGCTATTTGCTTGGCTTGCTGGGCTTCCTGTGTTTGGTGTATTCTCACTGACAATACACCAGAATACGCAAATATTGACAACATATAATATAGTGTCGCGGTCGGTTTTGATGCACATTTTATAGAAATTTATATATTTGCGTATTCTGGTATATTCTCGTGTATCGTCCGTGAGAATACACTTGCTGGGCTTGGTGTATTCTCAGTGGGAATGCACGAGAATGCACCAAGCCCAGCAAGTTTGAAAAAAACAGTCTCTTTTTGAGAATACACTGCGTACTGATATTCTGACATCCCTCAGGGCACCAGCTAATATATTAGCACAATGTCAGCCAAATTGATTTTTCGGAAGGCGATGCACTGTTCTATCTAATTTCCAGCTGTTACTATTTTTTACTGATACAAATGATACGTGATGAACGCGGCTGATTAGCCAAAGAAAACTGATGATGAATGAACTGCATCAAACTCAATTACAGCGTTAGAATATAAGCCTCGCTAAGTTCGCGATCTTGGTAAAGTATAATCACAGATTAAGCCAAATTATTTAAATACTTAATCTACCCCGTCGTGTACTAGACAGGAAAACGACTATGTATGTGCCTAAATTCTCATGGAGAAAGCATAATATCTTCTACATTCTGCATAATTCTCAGAGAAAAGAGTATAATTCTCGTGTAAATACATTATTCTCGTGTACTAGACAATAAAATAGCTATGAAGATATCTAAATTCTCATGGAGAAAGCATAATATCACTTGCTATTGAAATTCTTTCTTTCTTCGGATAAACACACTTACACATACCGACAACCACAGTTGGCGCAAGGAGTTGATGTGGTAGAAGCTTCTGTTATTTGTCTCTTTTCATACATACTCATACTGTATGCATAATGGATTATCTGCACCGTAGTTGCTTTCCGGATTCATCTGTAGTTGTTGCTTAATCGTTGATCCTGAAAAATGACGCACGACTTTCTTTACCTTTTTGGTTTAATGAAAACATTTGATGGTGAGCGAAATAAGTCTACGTATTCACTAGTGCAACGGGAAAACGTCTTGCCACGGAAAACTCTTGCCACTTTTGCCACAGTTACCATATGAGAACTACCTGCTTTTTCCTCGCAACGATTCAAACCGGGAGACCGCGATATTCGGATCGGGCATGTCGAGAAACGGTGTTCACCTAAGTTTCGTCCTGAAGGCAGATAAAAGGTTTCCGTCGAAATTTTTGCCTGGGGTCCCCCTCAGGTGTTTTGCCTAAAATTTAGGACGAAAACTTTTTTTTCCAAAACGCGTCGAATTTTGTATCATTCGATGCAGTGTTTTTCGTAGATTCCGAATATCACATTGGTTTGGCATAAAAATGCTTCTGAACGTTTAAAACTTAAGTTTTTCACTTTTTCCGTTCTGCATATATAAGTTCGTGTTCACTGTGAAAAAGGGAAATATGTTTTTTTCTTCTCTCTTTTCTCTCTTCCCGTATGATAAAACACATTCTTATTTTTCTATCGTGTCATCGATATAAGGAACATTTAGTCGATTTTTATTAGCTATATTTTGTGATTTGAGCAAGAAAAGATGTCTCTCAATCACATACTGATAATCTACCAGTATACATAAAATTTTAAGCTCTATCCGAATTTGAATGTTTTACATTTGGAAACGCGTATTGTCAGAAATACACGCGTTTCAAGAAAAACTTAATTCAGACAAAAACTCGCTTTTCGACTTAATTGCCAAATTCTAAGCTCTAATTTTAGCCTCATTAGATAGAGCACGTAAAACTACATATGTTTTACCCGGCTTTGTCTTCGGGAACATGATGCACTCATTTCAGGTTCAACTAGAGATTGATCTCAAAATAAGTACATAGACAGCAAATTTCTTGATGTCTTTTAGGTAAATAAACTTGAATTAGATCTTTTTTCCGTTATTAGGTTATATAATGCTAACAGTGGTGATTAAGGAAAAAACGTTTCCCGACTGTCAGTCTCTTTGTTCTCTTAAAATTCAGCTGTTTCTTTAACATAGCTACTGTCCGTTCCAAAAAGCAAGGCCGGTCATTATTTTTTGAATAACTCGAAGGAAATACAAGATCAAGACTTGCGTTTTTCACTATTCGATGGCCAAGACTTGAAGCTATCTTTTCATAAGCAAAAACGGATTTCGGAAAAATTTTCGGAGCCGGTTTTCCAGAGGATCTTTGGAAAATCAGTACGGTTCTCTGAAAACTGATATATAAACGTATGAGCTTTTTCTAATAGATATATGGCCTGAAGTGTCCTCTACAAAACTGAATCTAAGCGACATCCTGAATATCTATGGTTCGGGAGCCATGGACGTTTTTCCTGAAGGCTTAGCATTCCTCTGCCGTTAGGTTTGGGACTATCAAAAATGAATGAAAACATAGGTTATCGACTATGCTGAATCTCTAGCAATGTTAGTTTTCAGAACAACAACCGAGTGAAAACCTACAGGGTGTGCCATAAGTTACCGAACGACTTTGATTGCGAATAACTTTTGATAGGAGCAAGATACAGATCTGCGGTTCCCGCCATTCGAAAGAGAAGACTTGGAGGCATGTTTTCATAACCAACGTTGTTTTAGAAGAATTTTCTGAAGCAGATTTTCTAGGAGGTCTTTGGAAAACTAGGCCGTCTGTAAAGATTTTCCAATAGAATTGTATTCCTTTTTCTCATGGACTGATAGCTCGGGATGTCCTCTCCAAAATCAAGATAAAATGAGACCTTGATTTTCCACGGTTCCGGCGCTGTATCGGATTTCCTATGAGTCCCAGGACCGGCGCTCGGTGGCTATTGGTAGCCTTAAAGACTGATGGCTGATGAAATTCTATATATCGTCACTATACTAGGATTTCATCCGCACAAGAAGATAATCAGCCTGAAGTATTCTGACAAGCAGGGATCTAACCGTCTCCCAGTACAAGCAAAATACTTCAGTCATCCTTGATTTCACTCTGGGTATTCTCTATAACTCCATCCAAGATTAGAAAGAAAACTAGAAATGAACTCATTTGGTATTGCGTTAGCTAA